TGCGTTGTTTCAATGCGGATGTATTTTCATGTAGCACCTGTCGGGAGCGTTCCGTCGAGTAGCTGAGATTGCGGTAGTGAGGGAGTTAATAGAGACTGAGAGTCGGACATTTCAACTCTTTCATACATGAATATGTCTGAAAGTTATATAAAGTGTTGATGATATCATGCGGTTAATGTCATTTTAAACACAAAGCTATTGGAGCGGTTATTAGCCTTTATAAGCTAACAAACGGTTACTAGAGTGCGCCTGTCAAACCGCTCCCCGCCCTGTGAGCTGTCACATCACGGAGAGCTGGACCGGCAGGAAACATGACCAGTTTAGCCAGTAAAGTTTTCGGCAGGGTCGACAGGGTGTGCCGCCACCTCCCAGTGTTCCTCAACACCTTCCTGGTGTTCTCCATCACCGGGGAGGTGAGCTACTTGGTGCTGGTGGAGGCGGACCAGCAGAAGACGGTGTGGTCCGGCTGGTGGAAGGCGGTCCACCTGCTGGCTCAGTACTTCATGCTCGGGAACATCTGCTGGAACGCCCTGCTCTTCCTCCAGACCAGCCCCAGCATCAGGGGGGTGTTCCTGGGGGGAGATGGCATGGGTCAGGGGTGGAGGTGAGGAGTGGAGGGGTTACATAAGGAAATAATGGGGTTTTATTTGGAATTCTTCATACAGCCTTGGTTTGAGGATTCACAGTAAACTATATAAAGCCTCCTTGTTTACATATTTCTGTTTACTTGTGGTGTCTGTTGCTCTTACTTTGGCTAGACCCTATTTACTCCATATACAATGATATTTAGAATACAATTATTATTTTATAGTTTAATTATCATTTGACAATTTTGTCTTTTTCATAATTTGATAGAATAGAGGAGAGAATAATGTGATCCCCACTGTCCGACTTCCACCATTAGGAGAGTTATATTTAGCTTTTTTACAGGTGTAAAGATTGATTTGTTCCACAGTTTTCTTTTGGCCCAAAGCAATGCTTTTTCTAGATAATAAACACTCACAATAGGTTGAGCTTGGTATATTTCCATTATTAGGAAAATGGTGAATTATCATCACGAGTGAGTTGGAAAAACTGTCCATCATGGCAGAGAAGCAAACAACTGAATTTTATTATACAGTACTAGTTATGCAAAAACGAACAGACGCACTCAATGTTTGAGTTTTTTTCAAATTTGCATATCCTCCCACATCATCCCCGTCTGATGATCACAGTCTCTTTGTTTTAATGAGATTAACAAAACAGTATTTTAGAGCCAAAGGAGCATTTCTCATCATAAATAAATGTATTTTTGTTCTTGTTTTTCACACAGGTACTGTTATACATGTGAGACACACACTCCTCCTCGCTGCTCCCACTGCTACGACTGCAAAGTGTGTGTGCTGCGGCGGGATCACCACTGTGTCTTTTTTGGCCAGTGCGTGGGCTTCCGTAACTACCGCTACTTCCTGAGCTGCTTGTTATTTATGTGGTCTGGGCTCCTGTACGCCACTCTGATGAATGCAGAGGTCTTCATTGTCATATTGAAGGAGGGTGTGACATTGCATAGTGTCATGCTGCTGCTCATACCCTGGATAATGCTGGTGTCAGGTAGGAGCTGGTTTTGCCACTTTCGGTCTGTTTGTAGGAAGGATAATTGCAGGTTGATCCCCACAACTCTCTGTGTATAATAATGCTGCAAGGGGTTGTAAATGTAACCACATGTATTTCATGTACAATATTAACCTAAGCTTGTATTTATATCACTGGCTTTCTTTTAATCAGTTCTGCTGCTGTCCCTTCTCTTCCCAGGTCAGGTGTCACCAGGTGCCTTTGCCTTCGCATTCATCGCCGACACATGCGTGGTGGGCTTCCTGCTGGTGTCCGCCTTCTTCTTCTTCCACCTAATCCTGATGTTTCGGGGACAGACCACCAGGGAATGGTACTCGACCCGCCGACCTTACAACCTCGGAGTCCTGGGTAACCTACGTCACTGTCTGGGCGTTCGGTGGTACCTCTGCTGGCTCTGCCCTCTCATCCCATCACCTCTCCCCGGAGACGGGATACACTTCCAGCTCACAGGATCGCTGGAGCCCAGCCGTTAACAGCTGAAAGTCTGAATATGAACAGGCCGTGTGTCTTTGCTTTAGTGGTGATAGTTAATGTAATCGGGAGCAGCAGCTGTAACGAAGAACACCTCAGTTCACGGAGAGGTAGCTTGGGATGGGAAGAAGCCAGAGCAGTGTGGTGGTTTAAGATGTGACTGGGTATATCTGTCTACCGATATTTTCTCCGTAGCCTTTACCTGTGCGGAGACAAGGAAATGATGGGCCTACTTCAGAAGGGTACATTGACCTCCATTTAAAGGTATTCTGTATATTAACACAGAAATTAGCAGTGTTCCTCTGGAATACTGAGCACTGAAGATGTATCAGAACAACTCTGAAATGAGAATGTATTTAATTGATTGAGTTACATATATAGGTTTAAATTCTTGTTTACAAGCACTTGCGACAGCTGACTACAACCTTTGGGTAGTCACTTAAATCTGCCTTTTTCGTACTGTTTTTTTTAATATAAATCTGAAGGTAATAATCAGTTTGGCGTTGATGCTGACAAGTCCAATAGGATTCTAAATCTTCTGTTCGTTAGCAGATGTGATTTTGTTTTCCACTAATCGACAGCCACTCCTGAGCTCCAGCTGATGTATTACACTGGGCTCTTTACTGGTTTTTGTTGCATTAAGTAAGACATAAAGAGCACTGAGGGGGGGTGGGGTTCACAATGAAGGAAAACATTTGTAAGAAAACAGTCAATAGAAATTGCACATAACATAAAATCTAGTAGGAATAAATCGAATAAACTGAATTTTTCAGTCCTGTATCTGAGCCTGTGGCCCAGTCCTTACTACATATTAATTGAAAGAAAATATATAATTATTTTTGTTATTAACACTATGTACTCAAAACCTGCTTTGATTTTCCATTTAGTATGGATTTGGGACACAGTTAACATTTCTCACAGCACTTGATGCCAACTGACTTTTGCTACGTCAGTACCATCTTTTTTCTCTCTCTTTTTTGCACTTTTGCTTTTGTTATTTTATTCCTACTCGCTGTAAATGGAAATAAAAATGACAAGCCTTTGTTCTGACAGGTAATCGCACTTGTCCTAAAAATTCTGCCAAATATTGTTTGTTTAGGTTTTGTTAATTGTTTGCTATTATATATATACAGTATGTCTGCCTATTTCTTTTTGTTGGCCATTTCATATGGGTCACACCCAATAAATTATTTCAAGGGAAGTACAGAGCCATGGACACTTTTTTTAATTGTATTATTATACGTTTGTTTTTTGTGTTGTAATAGCAAAATGTGGATTTGTGGGAAGTGTTTTCTGCAGTTTTCTAATAATTGTACACATGCATGCTTGAGTGAAAAAATAGCTCGCTTTTGCAACTTTTTCATTCATCAAATACTGAATTAATTAGAATACTGGTCAGGGTCTAATCCTGCACTTTATGTTAAATGTAAACAATAAAGCATAATTGTATCTAGTTTGACTAACAAAAAAGCTTTTCAAATGATTATAGTATGCTGCATAAAACACAAATTCTAGCATTACAAAATGCAAAGAATTCATAAAAAAGTTAGTGTTTTCTAATGGCTATGTATCTGATTGTAATTATACGTTTTAATGTAAAAAAAACTACAATAACAAAGCAAGTACAACAACTGAAAATTCTTCCCTTAGCAACAGTCACTGTCAGGTGCATGGTTACCAGCAACGTGTAGTCTTCGAATAACAACTCAGCTGGTGCAACTCTATTGTATTGGATTTACTCGCTAGTAAGGCATCATTTTTCCCCGTTTCTGAAGCAGATATCATTTTAAAACAACAGTAGTTTTAGCTGAATGTAGTATTATAGCAGTATGATAACTTTTGGTAAACTTGGTATCCTAGCTTGGAACGCTAGCTAGCTCAGAAATGTTGGCTAATGTTAGCTAGCTAAATCTGCTTTGAAAATATAAATAAATGGGTTCAACAGGTCCTGTAAAATGCTCCACGTAATTATCCTAGTCATATTTTATATGTATTTTACTTTAACACATGTGAAAATGTAGCCAGCTTTTAACAGTGGCATAAGGAAGTATGTTGCTTGGTAGCAATAACACAGTTAAGGCATGTTCTACAAGCTAGCAAATAAGTCCTGCGTTAGCATTATTACTTAAAACCTAATTTTGCAGAATGACTCATTTCAGACTTATACATAACTGTATTGTAATAATTGAGCAATTACTGTATTCATCACTTTAATGCTGCAGCTGGTCATCCAGGAGCTAATTTATATCACGTTTGTTAACTTTCAAATATAATTTAGCAGAAAAGGGCGGTTAACGTTTACTGTTACAGACGCAAAGGGCCTTTTTCCATCACTAACCAGCTGAGATGCATTCATTGCAATCCCATCTCATTGTTTTCAATGCCAATTGAAATCAGTCTTGGAAGGATGGATAAAAGCTATTTCTGCTATTTTTATTGCAGTTAGTTCTACTTTATGCACATTTTAAGAATGAATGTATGTTACACTAGTTAGATGAGTTAACTGGATATAACCCAGAGACTGTTTATTGACAGTGACACCATGATGACTATTTAGTATGCCATTAATGAGCTATATACCTGTTTTGCCACAAGCATGGGAGAGGAGTAAGCCATGAAGATGGATGCCAAAGATGAAAATATGTGAGTGCTGTTCACTGAATAAACCCACACACACCAACATGATTGAGTTACTAACCAGCAATACATGGAGCTTGTTCTCTGGTGGTGTGTGTGTGTGTGTGTGTGTGTGTGTGTGTGTGTGTGTGTGTGTGTGTGTGTGTGTGTGTGTGTGTGTGTGTGTGTGTGTGTGTGTGTGTGTGTGTGTGTGTGTGTGTGTGTGTGTGTGTGTGTGTGTGTGTGTGTGTGTGTGTGTGTGTGTGTGTGTGTGTGTGTGTGTGTGTAGGAAACTGAAGGAGATGCGTGAGAAAATGGAGGAGCTGGAGCACAGTCTACACCAGCAGAGGGACCGCAATGCTAAACTAAACGACTGGCTGGATGTAGCAGAGGATGATATAGCAATGCTGCGTCCAGAGAACATCCTCCTCAGGAAACGAGTGAAAGAGTAACTAATCACACTTTATTGTCTATACTCAACTATCTGACTGTCAAACCTAACACTTAAATCAGCCGTTTGACTTGTGGCCCCTGACACAGACATGTTGCTGATGTTCCAGCACGGTTTTCTTTTTTTCTCAGTACTTAGTACCAATGGAACACTTTGTAGATTGTTTGTTTGCATGTCTGCAGCCTGGAGAAGAGCAACAGTGAAGTCCAGCTGGTGGAAGCAGAGCCGTGCAGGTCCCTCCTGGATGATGAACTCTACGCTCAGAGATGGAGTGAAAACAAGATTCAGAAATTGGTTTGTAACCAGACTTTGTGTTGTTGTGTTACAATGTGTTTTACTGGTGTATATTTAGACTTGAACATACTTGAGCTAATGAGGCAAAGCTAATTTCTTACAGATATCTTGTCTTACATTATATTGATAGGTTGCTCAGCTCTATTCCAATGTTTCATCACAGGCAGAGCTATCAGCTGATAGAACGTTAACAAGAAAGAACAAAGATTTCAATGATTTTTTGAATTGATTTAGAAGTATTAGGTTTAGGGCGGTCACTATATTGTCCTTCTTTACTTCCTCATATTTTGCTATGTTAAATTGTGTCTTTACTCATACAGAGATATAGAGATGTTTTTAACCTCCTGTTTTTTTCTGCAGGAGAAGGAGTCAGCCATTATGAAGGAACAGAACAAGAAGCTAACTGAAGAGGTATGATGGCTGTTACTTTTGACATAGAACTTGAATCTGTCATCATATAGTTTAAAAGTGCCACAAGTCAGTCTGACTGTTTCAGCTCAAGACCGTCCAGCAAGAGAGAGAGCAGGACAAGATCAGCTTGGAGAATTGCAGGGTTTCACTCCTAACCATGAAGGTATCACCATGGATTCAACTTGGAGATGCTTCATTCTCTTTCTCTTTCCATTTATCTAAAAGGAATACTCCACCTATATTGACATTTTGGGAGTAAGCTTTCCTTTTTAAGTCATGTAACGTTGTTAAACAGCTCCTGATTTGTTATGTTGTTTCTTTCTTTAGCATACATTGGAGGAGGCTGAGCTAGGGCTGCAGAATAGGGATGATGATATTCATAAGGTAGGAGCAGAGGCATCAGTACAAGGCAGAGCAAAGAGTGAAGACTTTCTCATACATATTTATCTTTTTCTACCTTTTTTGGGTTCATCAGGCTTATCATGAAATGTTTTTCTTGTTTTGTTATTTGGTTGAAATCAATTGATTTCTCATTTGTGTTTGTGATAGAAAAACTTGCAGTTAAAGTACTCAGAGGAATTGAAAGAAGAGTACTTCAACATCATAGAGGTACATGTTCTCACATATTGCTGTAAAGTCTTCCTGTGATGAGCTGCTGTTTGATAACTTTTCTCTGCTGCAGTGTCTCAGGCAGAAGAACCAGGAGCTGGGAGAGCAGCTGGAGGACAGACGGGACACAGCCTCACTGTAACCCTGACAGAAATATCCTCTGAATGAATATCATGAGTCATCTGTCTGCGCTGACACTCTTCTATGTCTGCTGTTTGTTTCCAGCGCCATTGTGAATGACCTGAAAAAGGAGGAAACACTCTCTCTGTCCTTCGCAGAGGAGCTGCAGCTGCTGGCCTTCTCGCCTGAAGTGAAGCCCAGCATGGCAGACTCTGCAGACCTCAGACATGTATGACCTGCTGAGACAGTGTAAAATCACTCAGTTGCTGTTTGTAATTTACAATACAGTCCTACGATAACGGCTGTAACTTACATTTATTTTACTTATCGATTCATTTAGCCAATTATTATCCAGATTATTAGTTCTATAAAACGTCAGAAAGTAGTGAAACATGTCAGTGTCTTGATTTGTCAGTCCAAAATCAAAAGATATTGAGTATAATGTGATATTAAACTTAGATAAGCAGGATATGTCCATATTTGAGAGGCTGAAAACTGAATTTTCTGCCATTTCTGTTTGATAAATTACGTTAAAAATGTATGGATTAATGGAATAGTTGTTGATAGTTGTTCTGCCAATGAACTAATCTTGCAGCTCTATCTACAATAAGTCCTATAAACAGGCACCTGAGTGGTTATTTATTGCATATTCCTAGTGACCACTAGAGTGTGCCAGTACAAAACCCAGATGTGGAACTATGTAGAAATGAGGGAAATGATGACTGGTTGTGTGTGTGCAGGAGGAATGTGAGGCTGAGGAGCCGCTGAAACCTCTGAGTCTCCCAGAAGAGCATCAGACCAAAAGGTAAATCAGTTCTTCATCATAGAGCAGCTCTGCATCATGTTTCTCGCTCTTTGCTCATGAATCCTCGTCCCTCTGATGTCTCCTTGTCTAAGGTGGACCTTGGAGACAGCCCTCCAGAGAGCTGGATTATTTCTGCTCTTCATCTTCTTCCTCATTGTTCTGGGTTTTGTGGCTTCAGGAAGCTTTAGAGGGAACTTTTTCTCCATCAACACCTTGTGGAGCGGCACTCGCCTGATGCAGCCGTACTACAGTGTGCATTATGGGGCCTTGCCTCCAATTTGATCTCAACACTCCTCTTATAAACACCTAATCTCCATTGTTCTTGTTTGTGCTTTATGGTAGCTGAGGGGATTCTTTTAAATATTTTATTTCTGTAAACCACTGGCATTTTTACGTTTTTCTTTGTGTTGTTAGGTTAAATTCTATGATAACAGTAAAAGTCTAATTTAACAGGGCTTGGAAATGTGTGAATTGGAACAGATATCTATCAACATCACTTATTTAAAAACTTAAATGAACAATTGTAGTTTCTTGCTTTCTGTTAATCTACTTAAAGATGTTGCTTTAACCAATGTTTTTTGAGAAACCACTTCTTCACATCAGACAAAATGTTAACCAATGAAAACTATTTAATTTATCGATTATTTGAAGGTTTGGTTTCTAACTCAGGCTGCTGAATTTATGAAGTATTTTTGCACGGAAGTAGCACTTTTTACGTACACAAAAATAGGTTTACAAAGGGATCTCCTTGTGGCCAGTATGGGAAAACGGTTCCAGCAGCCAATAGCTCATCACATATACGTATGGCCATGTGAGCATTGAATAAACACTTGAACAAAAGGAAGACAAGAGAGGAGCTCTTAGTTATTTTGTGAGAACTTTCCTCCACAAACTGAATTTCAGTCTGACAATAGGCCCATCACTCATTAGGAGCCCGGGGTGGTAACAAAGAGATGATTGTAACAGAAACACTTTGATTTACAAGGATGACATTTAAATCATAAGATCAATTTCATATCTGACAAACTTCACTTCTGACCTTTCATGTGATATTTCATACTGTAGCTCTCATTTCACGGCAAAAACTCAGATTTTCAGCTTTGAAAATAATCTTTTAGACCAAGTCTATAATTGAATTATTCTACTGTAAATTAGAATTACACAACTAGAATAAAAACGATATAACACTAAAATGAGGGGTATTTCATCACTGCTCATTTCATTACGCAATGCATCCAACAATGACTGACCGGTATGGAAGTTTGTAGCCCCTAAACACGTACATATTTAGATATACAATATTATTTTAAAGTTTTAAATCCTCTGCAGTTGATTATTGTAGGTAAAAGTCATTATTCAAGGGTTTTATAAATTCAGGTGAAGTTATTTTTGTTTTTTGCAAACTATTTGGCTTGAAGTAGCCTCTAGTGTGAGATTATTTTGTAATCTTTATTCTTACAAATGATCCCTGTATGGTATCTTATCATATCCGGATATCTTGGAAACGTGCCTTTTCTAATAGTAAAAAAAAGGTGTAATTAGTGAGTCATTTTAAAAGATGTAACAAACATTCAGGGTTGCCCAAAAATGTTACAACCATTCCTCATTTGAAACACTAACAGATTATTCTATCACGTTTACTATTACCAGGTCATTCTCCCAGTTCTACTACAGCATTATAAATATTGCAAAGCACCATTCACATTTTTTAATCGCATGCTCCAGTAAGAGAGAGTCTCCAGTCGCCCCTCCCAGCAGAAGGCGCTCCCTGGTGGTCTGAGGAGAGCACTCCCCCCCTCCCTCTCGCACGGAGCATAAACAGGGGCTCAGATGTAGGGCAGAAGGAGGGACGGGAGGACGGTCTGAACCCAGGGATGTTGTGATATCTGCTCTGCTGGCTCCTGACTCTTTGTGTGTCTGCTGATCGGAGCTGGGGGGGGTGCGGATGCTGCGCTGCTGCTGACTCGTGATGCTGAACACAGGCCATACCCATCAAACCCGTAGAGTGATAGCGGAAAAACGATAAATCGGGAGAAACAAATATCAACAGGCCAGTTTGATCCAGTGTGCAGGACGGGGACCGGAGGCTGTGTGAGGCGGGATGTTCTGATCGGAGAGCGGGATGAAGGCTCCGCGCAGACCGAGGCAGACGCGGCTCCTCCCGCGGCTCTGCGTCTGTGGGGTCGGTCTGCTCGCAGCCGCCTGGATCTTTAACCTCAATCATGTTACAGGTGCTTTTTACATCAAAATGTCGTAATTTCATATACCTCAACTATAACTCATCCGTTCCTTGTATTATCTTAAATCATTCAAATCACATTATAAACATGTTAGATTGTAGTGAATGCAGTGAGAGTAAAATAAATATCATAAAGTTGGGTAAACTTACAATCAGGTATATTAGAGTATAATAGCCTATTATGTGTTAATATGTTAATCCCTCTTTGTAGGTTCTCATGCACCCACTGTGGATCATGACATCTCCAAGAGAGAGCTCACCCAGCAAGAAGAAGAGAGCAATCAGACTGAGATTATTACTAAATCTGGTGAAACATATTATTATTACATATATCATGTTTGTTTTTGGATACAGTGTGGTGTGTAACCTATGACAAAAGAGCGATCATTTACTTATCTTAATAAAAAAAATACAGTCACTATTAAGGGTGTTGAGTAAACACTCTAATGATTTGTGTGTGTGTGTGTGTGTGTGTGTGTGTGTGTGTGTGTGTGTGTGTGTGTGTGCGTGTGCGCGTACGTGTGCGCGTACGTGTGTGTGCGCGTACGTGTGTGTGCGCGTACGTGTGTGTGCGTACGTGCATGAGTGTGGGTGTGTGTCAGTGTCAGTTTACTGTCCCTTCTCTTGTTATTGTATTTTATAATCAATCTTCTGCGTGTATCGTTCTTCGTCTCCGCTCTACCTCATCCTCCATGTCTTCAAACTCTGCACATTTAGATGTTTAAACACAGTTAGGCCTTTGAGGAGGACCCGGTTGCTAGGAAACTGAATGCTGAATTAGGGGTTGGATGGCGTATGCATCTGGAGCTGTTCAAAGTGCTGCCCTGTCGTAATGACCTGCTGATCGGTAGCCTCTCATCGCTTGTTCTGTTTGGCTGAGAGATAAACAGTGGCAGCATCTTACAGTCGGATGTGAGATACAGAGATTTTGTAATCACAGAGAAATACTGAGCTCTAATACAGTAAAGATGAACTATAAAGCCTCCTTATTTCCTTATTGCCATATTGTTATTTTCAAGAGCACCATCTTGTTCCTTGTGATACCAATATTCTCTTTAATCTGTGTCCAAAGACAAGAATGTGACAGGTTGTCATAATATCTCACCATGTGTCTCAATTCCTGCACATGATGCATGTTACCGTCCTCTAACTATCTCCTCCACTTTAGTCACACTTGTTTCACTCACATTTGATTCCTTTATCTTCAGAGGAGGTTTTGTAAATCCTGTGGCACAAATAAATCAGATTGTCACTCGGGAGGCTGCTTTCCAAGTTATTGTTGTTTTGGGCTGCCTCTTAATGAAAGCTTCTTTTTTTTATTGCGCAGTGAGTCGTGGCATATGTGCAGTCTAGCAAATCACTGCCTCAAAGGTTCTAAGAGGAGGGTTTTGATGCTTCGTCTAACGCAGCAAACTTAGATGCATCTGAAGGATGTCCTTTTGCAATCTCTGGCTTTATTTAAAGAGCTGAAAGATAATGTCAGTTCAGAAATCTGGGTGTAAGTGGCATGAAGGACAGTGTGAAGTCACAAGATCAAGGTAAATGGCCGAATTATAAATTATAATGAAACTGAACTGGTGTCGTCACATGACTGTGGCACCACTTTAACCTCGAGGCTGTCTCAGACCTTGTTGCTAGGGGATACAACCTGGCACACATCCAACAAAGTCATATATACACACACGCACTTTTCACACATGTACACACAAGTGACTGGAGGTTCAGGGTAGAGCTGCAACGATTAGTTGATTAATCAATTAGACGAATGACGAAGAATCTGCAAACATTTTGATCATGGATTAAGTAAAAGTAATGTTTCATGCAAAGGTGGTATAAATTGTTGTTTTCAGCCTCTTTAATGTGGAGTTTTGCTGCTTTCTCTATTTTATATCGTATAAAAACTCAATATCTTTGGATTACAGTCAGACAAAACAAAGATGTTTAAAGACATCACCTCGGACTTAAAATAAGATTGATATTTTTTACTATTTTCTGAACAAACACACGTAAAAACTTAAAAAACTATTACAAATAATTGTTAGTTGCAGCTGTAGTTCAGTGAAGAACTTCAAATTATGATAATTTTTTTTGTTGATTAAGCTGCTGATTATTTTTTCTCCATCCTCCATTAATCCATTAAAACTGGCAATCATTTTTTCTTGAAGCCAGAGGCAGTCAGCACATTGCTTGTTTTGTCCTTAACTTCTCACATGATTTATCAACTCAGTAAACATTTCCGTTACGCCTTTATGGTCTCAATCAAACTAGTTTCAAGTCATATTAAATACAGTATGATGTTTATTTTTATAAACAATGGTCTCATTAAGAGTCAATCAGGCTATGAAGCAGGGTTTGTTTAGGGCTACCTTGTGATAGACAGGTCGCTGCCATGGTGTTGTCCAGTCTGAGTCGTCTGCAAATAGAAAGTGAGTTTTAAGATCATGAAAGTTGAAAATGTTTGTTGCCTAATATCGTCTTGTTCAGTTGTACTCCTCTCACCCTCTCCTTTCACTTCTGTTTTTCAAAAAATAGCGAGCCAATGATCGCCTTTAGTTTGCAGCCTCCTTTAAACCCCTGAGGCCCCTCTCAGAGGTCGAGGGCTGCAAGAACTCCCTAAAGTGCATCGCCAAGTTATACCTATTTAAAAAGTTACATTTTAAAAACCGATCTTAAAAGTGATAGATGGCCACTGGGGAGACATAATAGCAACACATCTTCACATTTTAGAGGCTGGAACTTGGGAATGCTTTTAAATGCTGCATGTAGGGATATTCCTCATTTTGTACATCATTAAGTTACTCTCCCTCTCCATCTCTTCTCCAGCCATCAGTGATTTTCCTGAAGACATCTTCAGTCTGCAGCAGAGGAGACAGGGAGCGGTGCTCCTCCATGTTCTCTGTGTGAGTATCAGCTCTGCACGAAAGAGAACATTTTAAATTAGGAAAACCTCATTTCAATCAGTAAAGGTCTATCAGAATGTTTTATCACTGACAGAAATAACCAGTCATGTGACTATTTAAAAAAAGTACTAAACTTCTCATAATATACTGTTTTTAAATGGAAACTGCAAGGTTTATCATGTCTGAGTTTTAACATTTGATGAGATTACTCTTTGGGATTTATCTGCCCAGGGATGGCTGTTGAAATGTAATTATACAGCTGACTCTGGGATAGTCAATGACTGTAAAATAAACATACATTTGTTTACATTCAACTCTGACAGACACGCTTACATGATCCATGTGGCCATTAACGTGTTTCCTTTGTTTCTCAGGCTATGTACATGTTTTATGCGCTGGCCATCGTGTGTGATGTTTACTTTGTGCCATCACTGGAAAAAATATCAGAGGTATGAATTAACGACATATTTTATCACTAAATAATGCATTGTAAGCCATATAATTAAAGGGCCCATGTCATGCTTTTCCGGTTATTACCCATCCCCTTGTGTGTTATGAAGGTTTTTATGCATGTAAACGGTGTGCAGAGTCAAAACCCTCAAAGTACACCCTGTAGCGAGTAAAACTCTAACACAGAAAATACCTCCCCAAAACGCCTCGTTGGAGATACGTCATTGTCCATTTGATTCTTCCATTTCGTTCCGGGTACGGCATGATGTCATGCCGTACCCGGAACGAAATGGACCAATCCATGGAGCCGTTACGTTACGTCCGCGGAGCTGTTACGTTAAGCCCCCGCTGATTAGTCCAAATTGACCAATCCACGGACTTCCTCACACACACATCTGTGTGCAGGGAGCAGGCAGCTCAGCTGATTTCTCCTCCCTGGCTGCAGGCTGATAACAGACAGTTGGGATCGCGGTGAAATTCTCTCTGCAGACCCATTCAGCGTTTATCAACCTTTTTCTTACTCAATATCAAGCCACACTTATTGTTTTTACTTCGGCTGTGAGTTTGTGTGTGCTCAGGATGAGTTTGGCTGTGTTTCGCTATGTATCCTAAACAAGGAAACAACACCTCCACGGAGCTCAGCGCGATTCACAACGTCCCGACCAATCAGAGCACACTGCTCACAGGGAGGGTGGGGGCTGGAGCTTTGGGAGCTACAACGAGCCGTTAAAGGCAGAGAGTGAAATTCAGTGAATACACGTAGTTTACAGAGATGCTGTATGAGAAACCAATGTGAGTTTGGAAAATTGCACAGTATAAATCTATTCTAGTAGACCTCAACAATGGAATTATGATCAGTGGAAATGGCCATGACATGGGCCCTTTAAGGTTTTGAGCTAGAAAACAAAAATCTACAATTAGATAGTTAAAAATGTCTTTTGTTATGTTTAACTCCTAACATTTAAACTGTTATTTTTCTTACTGCCTTTGTGTTTAAACTCCAGAACCTTCAGCTCAGCCAAGATGTTGCCGGGGCAACTTTCATGGCAGCTGGAAGCTCCGCCCCCGAGCTCTTCACCTCTCTGATTGGTTAGTATGACAATCGTTAATCAATTAATCTCTCTAATGGGTTATCCCAGTGATTGCTCCATCAGCGTTACAATTACCCACAATCATGCATCTCCACCTGATCAGGACTGAGAGGAGTCTTTGGTTTAGGCGCTGATTTCAAGAGTTAATTAGACTTGAACAAAGAGCCGTCTCAATTGCTTGATGCAGCTCACCTGCAAATCACTTAAATTATCCTGATGTTTTCAAGGGTTTTCCTCCACAATCATTATGGTTTCAGTAAATGTGGATTTAGGCCTGGGTGTAATAATCCAGATTTAGTTTGAAAAAAAACACAGAAATGTTAAGAAAAGACATTGGCATCGATAAGATTGTGTTTTTTTGGGTGACATTTCAACAAAAGCACTGTTGATCAGAGTGTTTGATAACTTTGGCCTATTGCACACATTTATTTCTTAATTTTTTTGGCAAATTGTTCTGGTCCAGGATATAAATGTTCACACCAGACTCTCCAACTTTTTTAAACACAGAATACTGCACAATTATTACACATTATGCTTGTTTAAAATAACAATAAATTCACAAATAAGGACAATTCATCCTCTAGAACAGGGGTGTCAAACTCAAGGCCCGGGGGCCAAATCTGGCCCGCGACTTCATTTTATGTGGCCCGCAAGACCTTGCAAAGAATATAATATTCTTATAATATATATAATAATTATTATTATACGGTTACATGCCGTTTTACAGAAGCACATTGCCAATAAACAACATGTCCCACGATGCATCTCATTTTGTGACATGCGCACTGAAGAGACTTGCAATTATTTGCCCTAGACTTCTGCATTCAGGCGTAGTTAATTATGAAGTTATTATTAGGCAATAATGTAATATAATACATTATTTTATATATTTATATCGTCTTAAAGTTACAACCGGCCCCAATTTGACACCCCTGCTCTAGTAGCACGTTTCATGCTTTTACAGCACAAAAATGCTAATGTTTTGGAAATGTTAGAAACTACAACACTGCCAATACAATACAGTTTGTTTAAACAGAAACAGAGGTATTGTTGTGTATACATGAACACTGCTTGATAGTCCATGTGGCTTAAGGACATTCACGTACATATTCCCTAATCTATTTCATTTTTAGGGTGGCATGCATAGGGCGTATTTATTGCAGTGAATATTCCACACAAGATTCCCAAGATAAAATATATCTGCCCGGCCCCTGTGGTTATGAACAGGCAATGCAATATTTATGTTCAATCTCTAACTTTGTACACATTTATGGAGGGATATACAAATCATAATTTCTTACAGTTGTCGCATTTCATTTGAAATGTTTCACTGATGATTTATAGCTTGTTCTACTTGTTTGTTCAGGGGTGTTTATTACAAAAGGAGACGTGGGTGTGGGAACTATCGTGGGCTCAGCTGTCTTTAACATCCTCGTCATCATCGGCCTCTGCGGCATCTTCGCTGGACAGGTACAGCCAAAAGGATGACAAATATCATATTCTTTTAGCCAATAAAGGCTTTTTCCCACGTGATTCCTTCTTACACCATTTGCTTGATGAATGGAAATGTGTGTCCTCTGTTTCCAGCCCATCACTCTGAGCTGGTGGCCTTTGTTTCGGGATGCTTTCTTCTACATCCTGTCCATATTGGTGCTTATCCTGGTGAGAAATACTCCAGAGATAACCTTTATTTCTTTTGAATGGAGAGTGTGTAGGATCGTATGAGAGTGTGTTGGTTAAAAACATGAGAAAAAGGTTCACGTTTGTAAACTAGGGAAGTTTACTTTAACCTCCTGCAGTCACAAGACCAAAAACTACGTTATATTGTTATTAACTGTAGAGAGACACGACTAACTTCCTACATGATTAATGCATTATTGATTATTTTAGGACAATATTCATTCATTTTCCTGCAAGTCTGATAAGTTATTATTTATAATATTGGATAATATTAGCTGATCAATGCAATGTTCCTTTGCTAAGACATGTAAAGGTGTAATTAAGGTATTTATTTCTTGCAGGTGATCTACGATGAAAAAGTCATGTGGTGAGTCTGTGATTTTAGTTTTTTTACAAGTCAGCAGCCTCAGTTGTGTGATATTATATAAGTGTGCAGGATAGCTGACTGTCACTGTGATGAATTTTGTATTTTTGTATCTACTTGTTGGCATGTTTCAGGTGGGAGACCATCATCCTGATGTCCATGTATGGAGTCTACATAATCATCATGAAGTGAGTCTCTACCTCTCACATTGCCATCCTGCTGGTATTATACATGTTCTTTTCCACTAAAGACACAGTGTGTGTGTGTGTGTGTGTGTGTGTGTGTGTGTGTGTGTGTGTGTGTGTGTGTGTGTGTGTGTGTGTGTGTGTGTGTGTGTGTGTGTGTGTGCGTGTGTGTGTGTGTGTGTGTGTGTGTGTGTGTGTGTGTGTGTGTGTGTGTGTGTGTGTAGGTTCAACAGTTGTCTGTGCAGCTGGGTGGAGAGACGCTTCAGCCGGGGGGGTCAGCCGTGTCTCAGCAGCCTGCGGCGGGGGGCGGCTGTCGGTAACCTCGGAGACTGCGACAACGACATGGTGCCGCTGAAGCCAGGTGAAGGAGCTCGTGTTTGTACGTGTGCACGTGAACATCCATCCCATCAGAATGTCTCCATCTCTCTCTGAGCGGCGTTCACCAGACCTACTGACACACTTCAGGCTGCACGTCAAACCCATTTCTGTTCCCCTCTGGATTTCCATCACGCTGAAATAGAACTGGACCACTTCGACAAGATTCTTCTCTCTTTGTCTTGTTGTCTTTCATGTACCATCTGTCTCACTAATCCCTTTCAAAGAGTTGCACTTCTCATTAGAGGATGCATTTGTGTGCACCACTGCCATAAAAGCATTTATTAAGAATATGTTCCACTTCCAAGACTACTGTCTTTTAATGAACTTAAGTCCTCGTGTTCATGACTACCACATATCCATTCATATGTTCTGGATTTTAACCCTTTTAATCCCAACCTACTGCAGTTATAGAAACAAAAAGGTCATTATTTTCTGTATATTAAATGCTAGGGAGTTTTGACACTGTCTAAGATTAGCATCATCATTGATTTTGATTCATTTATATTGTTTTGTGTAGGAGACCAGGAACATAACAAGTGTTTGCCACTATAATTTCACTCATTGTGCAAATATAAGAAGAATTGCTCAATCTCAAGGAAAAAAGTAGAGAAAATGTAAACTTCTGAAGCCAGGGCCGCAGTGAAGTCTGATTTAACAGAATGCTTGATTTATGCTGCAATAGACTTGGGGTCAAAAAAATTGGTTTTAATTGTTTTCCATCACATTAATGTCATCAAGGGTCTTAGTTTCTGTATGTTGGCTAAAAAGTTTAAATAGATTTAGTATAGGAGCTGAGGTTGAACTTCCAAAATAAAATAAAAACCTCACACCCTTTCCAAAATGGCCGAAACATGAAAAGCCTGTGCCTATCGGTGCATTAGGGTACATCATCCTCTCCTCTCCACTGATGTCTCCCTCTAAAATCCGTACCCCTCCCTCCACTCTCCCAGATTCCTGTGTGGCGGCCGGCCAGGACCCCGGGGTGGTGATGGTGGACGAGCTGCTGAACCTGCACCCCCACCAGCTCTCCTTCTCAGAGGCAAGCCTCCGCCTTCTCATCACCCCGCATTTCCCCCCCTTCACCCGCCTGGGCATGGCAGGACGCATGGTCATCAGCGAGGTACACCGCACGCCCTCGCACCCCCCACATTAACGCAGGTTCCCCGGGTTCTATTCGGATCGGTTGGTGGGTATTTAAATGAGCGTGTGCATCATTAAAAAAAAACATTATGGCACTTTTCAGGAAAGAGGCTCATATTGATAAAATTAACGTAAATGTAAGGAAGGATCACTTGTAAAATGCTGTTAAGTAGCTCAACTGAGTTGCACCAGCTACTCGTAAATCTGCTCCTCAGTTTGTGTTGCAACATTTAAAACTAGGGTCTCTGCAGCATCACAAGGTGTAGCATAAACCCCCCCCGAACAGTTTTAGGTAATGCCTGTAATATGTAAATAACATGAAGAAAAGTGTGTTTCTGAAATAATAGTGTTCATTATGTTGACAATAAGTGGAAAACATCTGATTATTCTAAACTATCTGACCCTATTTAACAGATACAATTAGAAATTGTGTGATACTTTCCATAAAAAGCACCGGCCTCAGCGAGAATGTTTTGCCGTTGTGTTTAAACTTTTTAGTTGCCACGTTAAATTTGATCAGAACCAGAAAACCTGGTCCCACTGAGGGGAAATGTACATGTGTTACAGCAAGTAAAGAGCCAAAGATAGCTTAGTATCATTCAAGAAGCATGCATACAAATATCTAAGATAAAACTAGACATTACACATTTAGCAAAATACACATCCAGTACCAGTAACGGTTTATCGTTTTGGATAAGGTAACGGTTTATCGTTTTGGATAAGGATTGTTAGGATTGTTATTAATATCATGTCACTTCTCAAAGCACAGTTTTTGTCCTGGTAGACAGAAAGCTGGTAAGGTAGATGTTCGTATCAAACAACTTCCTGTTTGCTGCCACAGACCTAACACCTGATATTATCCCAGACACAACAGCAGACGAGAACTCAATCTTTAAATTGGCTTCGTGTCTCTCGGGGCTCCTGCATGTGTGCTTGCCATTTCCAGTAACAAATTAAAGTGTGACTTCCTCTGCTGCCCCCCTGTGCTGTAGCATGCCCCCCCCCCCCCCCCGATCAATGCTTTCCAAACCCCCTCTGGTGAATGTGAGGACGTGCCTGATCTCATCATGATGTTAGCCACAGTCACATGAAGCTTGTTTCTCACGTCCTCTCCATTTATTTCCTTCTGTCTTTTCTCTGACGTCACCCTCACTTCCTTTCCCCCCCCCCCACAGAGGCAGAGGCTGATTCAGGCCCGGGGGGGCTCAGTGGAGGGGGGGGCGTCAGGGGAGGAAGGTCTGGGTGCTAACGGGGCGTGGGGGAGAGAGAACGGGGCGGCGACTGAGTGGGACAGGCAGCCGCTGGAAGGGGAGACAGGTAAAGAAACGGAGGGGGAGACAGGTGGAGGAGCGCAGCCCAAAGAGGAAGAGGAGGAGGAGGAAGAGCAGGAGGAAGGAGAGGAGGAGGAGGACGCTCCTCTAAAACCCTTCGTTGTGCCAAGTGAGTGTGGAGAGAGCAGAGATTTCATTGATATCCTCTTCAGAAAGAAAAGACTGTATGGGTTATAGTAAAATAAATCTGTTACATTCATATGTTTATGCTTCATTTCAGTTGAAGTCAAAGTTGCTGTACTGAAGTCTACCTGTTAAGTCTTATTTAGTATGAATGAAGTGAGACTGACTTGTAGAAACTCCCTTTTATGAAAAAACATGAAGATTGTGCAAATTAACTCAATGACAGATGTTGAATTCATGTTATTAATGACTCCACTGTTATATTGTTGGACTCCTTGAACTTATTTTCAACATTTGCTAGTCCAATTAGCAAATAAAGTACATTTTCTGCGAATTTCAATCAAGTCAATGGCAAACAAACCACTACCACTACCTTTGTATGTGTTCAAATATCTAATAAGCTCTCCCCAACTCTAGCAACAAGTAGAGTTTGTCACCGATAGCTCAGACTAACATCATCGAGGCTACTGTAAAACACAAGCTCTCTCCTCCCTGTTTTTCAGTGTCTTTAGATGGACTCATTGCTAATGGAGCTAATTAAGAAGTGATGATACTCAGATTCACAGGCCGTGCCGCATCAATAATTTAGGAGTTTAGATAAATCTGTAATGATCCCTGTGGGAAACTTGTGTGTGTGTGTGTTTCCATCATCTCCTCAGAGGGTGTGTGTCTGCGGCTGAGGTGGCTCCTCTCCTGGCCCCTCAGCGTCCTGCTCTACTTCACCATCCCCGACTGCAGCCTGCCGCGCTGGGAGCGCTGGTACCTGCTCAGCTTCCTGTCCTCCACGCTCTGGATCGCGCTCTACTCCTACCTCATGGTCTGGATGGTAACGAATGCAACCACACACATACACACAAACACACATATACAGACACAAACACACACATACACACACACACATGCCTCATTCCCTTGTGTCTTTGTGTAGATGACCATAATCAGCAACACACTTGGAATCCCAGAAGTCCTCATGGGCATCACTTTCCTGGCCGCCGGCACCAGCGTCCCTGACTGCCTGGCCAGCCTCATCGTCGCCCGACAAGGTGTGTGTGTGTGTGTGTGTGTGTGTGTGTGTGTGTGTTGAATATTGAATGGTTTCGCATGTTCATTTTAGACTGAAAACTGAAGCACCGGACTGGATGTCATGTCATTTTAATGCCATTTTAAGGCTGCTCCAAAAACAAGTAAAACGAAAAATGAAAACAAGGTGTTTTTAGCTCGGTAAGATTTCTTGAAATAAGAAGATATATTTAGATAAATTATATCTTGTAATAAACTGGGAAAACTTATAAACTACATTTTACCATAATCAGGAAATGTTGTGTTACAAAAGATGCCAGAAATAATTCTGTTTTCTGAGGTTAGTTGGTGATGTAAATTTGTTTTCTAAAATCAAGTAAGATTTATTTCTTGAAACAAAACGATCCATCTTTTACAAATGCAACAGTAGCTTAAAAGCTTGTGACGTGTGAAAAGACCCTATATCTCACTGCATCATTACTTCTTAAGTTGTTATGTTTTATATTGAGATGTGAACAGTTTATCTAAGACAATATTTAAATAATGTCCTTCTTACCTATTTGTAAAAACACAAGGGATTAATATTGAAGAACTTGCAGTTCAGCGCCATCTCCTGGAATTTAAAGCCTGTACAATTTCTGATCAATGACACAAAAAGAGTCAAAAATGAATGCTGCTCCTTTTTTGGCAGTGGTATTGTTTTTATTACAGTTTACAACAATATATCTTTTACAGCTTATTTTTGTTTTGGTTTACTATAACAACCGTGCTTAGCACTAGATCTTTGAATACAATTTTACATTGTGTGTTTCTCAAAAATTGCAGGGATGGGCGACATGGCCGTGTCCAACTCGATTGGCAGTAACATCTTCGATGTGCTGCTGGGCCTGGGCTTCCCCTGGGCGCTGAGGACTCTCATCGTCAGCTACGGATCAGTGGTAACTCCAGCAGTCTCTCTACCTCATATCTCATACAGCTGACTGGACCATTATCTTAGAAACATCTCAACTCTCTTGATGGACCGATATATAGGGATTTATCTTGCTGAGATTCACAACAAGGTAATCATTTGTCATCTCTGTTTTTTAGGTGACGATCAACAGCAGAGGCCTGGTGTACTCCGTGATCCTGCTGCTGGCCTCAGTCGTGCTCACTGTGAGTTACCTTCAAATTCATTTATTTGACCCTCGTGCCTCATGTTGAAAAGGTTGCTCTGATGTCGTTAGTGGACAAAACTGTCCACGTAAAATAAAAAGCCATTATATGATGTTTTATAGTTTTATTTTCCACTTTCAAATTCTTCATACAACTTCAGTCCTGAGCATTACGGCCAAATATTAATTTATTATTCAGAATTTTGATCTGTAAACTAAATACTAAATAGTAAAAAAAATCATAATCTGTAATATGTATTAGCACAACACTGGATTACATGCAATTTTAGTCAGTTAAAAAATGACTTTCAATTGTGGTTTCATGTTGTTAATACATAGGTAGATACTTTATTTAGTTTAGTTTAGTTCCAGCAGCAGTATCAAGCATTACAGGAGTAAAACATGTTTAAAAGATACAATAAAAAACAAATAAAAAATTCCCAATTAATATTAGCTGCAAGTAAGAATAAAAATGTAAATTAAAAATGTAAATTAGCAAGAAGTATATACAAATTCACAATAGAAAATACATATATCCCTAGAGTATCTAAATAATACACAATATAACGAAATATTGAATACATTGAGTACTCAATATACAGTCTCACTTTGCTACAAGAATATATAGAAATATACTGTAGACACATAATGGGGACATTCATGTCCTTAAGGGTTTGCCTGCACTATTTATTATAGACTTATTATAGGATCTTAGGATGAACTTTCTAACATGTTTGCCATTAACATAACATTATGATTTTGATTTTGTAATCTTTCCTGCCCGAGCGCTCTTGTCTTAGTTTTTTTAGGTTCTGGCAATTAAATTGTGATTATAATATATATATATATATATAGGGCAGTGCAGTGACATGAAGCTGTCTGTCTCTCCGGTCGTCCCTCCTCAGGTCCTGTGTGTCCATCTGAACGGCTGGAAGTTGGACCGCCGGCTGGGCTTCTGTCTCATTCTGCTGTACGTCCTCTTCCTCCTCTGCTCTGTCGGCTTCGAGAGGCTGTAGAGGAACTCCTCGTACACACACCCCCACACAGCCACACAAAGGACGCACACACAACTGGTCCAACTTGTTTTCCAGCTTCACTTGCTGCCATTCTTCATCAATGTAGAGATGGGCGAATTTTTTTTTTTTCACTTTGCGGTGGCTGTACATGTTTAAGCAGCATTACTATGACACCGGCTTCCTGAAGGCGACATGTTTACCTTTGATAACTGAGTATTTTACAGTTTTGTACCGAGCATCTGCAGCCCAGACCCAAATGCATTATGCACTACTCAAAACTAATGTATTGCGTTTTTATTCTGACACCAAGAATAGTGTGAGAAACCCCAGTGTGCTAGTTTACTTATTAATACTCAACGACTGCCACAAGTAACCTCATATGATGACACATGTAAGCTTATATAGTGGCTTCTCAGTGCATGAACTTATTTTATGTTTTCATCGCGCCTTTGTGTCTGTCGTTGTACTCAGCGTAGCATGGCTGATCATCACGCTCCAGATAATTGCACTAAGCCACTGTTGTCTTTGCCCCCCCCTCTCTCTCTCTCTCTGTCCTCAAAGCTTCTCAGCATAGAATTTGTGTTTTTGTGCTGGAACAAAAGCGACTATATGCTACAAGGTGTTTTTGAATGTCTGTGTCTGGAGAAAGTCTTTGAGTGTGTGTGCTGTTGAGTGAAATAAAAAATGTTGTTGTTCTGTGAGGCTTCTCCTTCCTTCATTCAACATTTTCCCAGAAAGGTGTGATTGAGTGATACCAGTGGAGAAGGATGCATTCAAACTCTGACCTACTTAAAATGTTAAATGAAAGACTGTGCCATTTGTATTTAACTAGTCCTTAATTCTATAGCATTGACTCAATCATACTCACTTTAGATATCGTGGACAGACTCCCTGCAGATAGAGCTTGTGAAATATTATGTGTCCAGAGATTCCTGTGTATATCTCTCAGGTTAAAGGAGCAGCTGCTCGATTAGCATTACAAACTGCTTGTATCATGCCCTATCAGGAGCACAGCCATTTAAACAACGCACTCCCAGAACAACTGAAAGAAGTTTACTCGTGGTTCTGAATCAGGATACAGCTGTGACTTTTCTTCAGGTGGCAGCCTCTTCTCTAGGGTCACAGCAAAGTGTAATCTGCCCATCTGAGAGTCAGATAAATATCCAGAAAAAGTTAGCAGGATTGATGGTGAGTACAGCATGGACACACAATCCTCCATTGTCCTTGAGCAAAATTTAAAAAATCTTCAGTTGTTAAGACGTCAGCTCGGTTTCAAGCAGCTTCCTTTGTTACATATTGTGCCTATTACTTACGTTCCAGTAGTATTAATGGGAACTGAAAGCATGCTGTATGGATAGGTTCTGCAGGTAACGGTGTACCATGTTAACAAACCAAGTGGCTGTAGTTCAGGGTCACATGGAGCTGTGACCTGCAGCTCTTCAGCACCAGGGACAGCTCTGAACACTCTCCAGGCTCCATGGAGCGAGCTGTCCGAGGGTCCAACTCATGGACACATAATGGACGGTCATTACATACTGATTGTAAACATTACAGTTTCTAATATAATCTCAATCTCTTCATAGTAGAGTATTTTCTCTTAGTATAAAAGCACTCTTGGACTTTGTTTTGTACCAACAGTAAAGCTGTTTCTCCAAACACTTATTTTGGGTTACATTTAGTCACTTTTTTAGTGTGCGCATTTGACACTTTCTTCAGTGATTTTGTTAGAGACACAAACTGAGCGCCCCCTTATTTAAACACCTGCAAGGACAACTGTGAAAATGATGCAGTTAAATCAGTTGCAATGGACACGTTATTCAAAGTGATTTTTATTTCAGTCAGGCTAAATCGGCTTTGATACCAAAGAAATGAAAAAATAAAAATAGTACAACAAAGTACATCATTTTACAAATACTCAAAATGGAGGTCTGACATATCAGAATAATCAAATAAATTCAAACATGTCACAGTCATAACAAAAATAGAAAAAGTCAATACAGTACATAGAATGCAATAGGAGCTATATACTTGAAGTGTTTGCTATACCATAGACTTTACAAAATTCTACTAGAAAAACTCCCAGTACCAATGGAATATCAGGTAATATAAAATGTAAAAAAAAAAAACATACAACGAAAAAGAAAACACTTGTGGTGTGAGTGTGTGCATTCATACAGGTGCAATATGCATGCAAATCTGCCTGTGTGACAAACGATAAAAGCAGCTACAGTTTGTAAATGATTATGTGTGTCATGGGTTTGACAGCAGCTGTTTAAAAATGACATGTGATGTCACTGCCAAACTGTTTTGTAAAGCACAAAACAAGTGATAGAAAAGGATGCACCTGATGATTACAAATCTCATGTATTGGTCAGTTTCCCCCCCATAAAAACAGCATCAGCTGACGGTCAGGTTTTTCAAAATAAGAGAATGTTAGCTCGAAACTAAATTGAAGACCGGTATTTTACGAAATATTCAACTTACAGTATGTCGTATAGTGTTTGGTTGAAGTAACTGATCAATCCAGTAACAGCATCAGAGATGAGAGGGTGGTTTCGGTGCAACCCTGATATAGCAAGGCCAAAGAGTTGTGCTAACAGCTTAACGAGTCAAAGCCAAAGGTTTTTGTTGGCAAAGAAATTAAGACTTTTTGTTACCATCTTTGTCCCACCGATTCAAAATGAAACAAAGATGGTTAAAGTGATTATGATAAGCTCCGTGTGTCTTTGTCGTGTGTTTCATGTGAGGGTGGACCTTGGCACTGACCGGCTCCCCTCAGGGAAACCTCTTAAAAAGATTGATGGATCAGACAAAAGTACACAGACAAATGCCACTACAAAAGTCCACTAGTAACCAGAACAATAACAATAGTAATAATAATTATGTTCCTCATCTGTATATGTGGTGTTTTTATTCTTTCTCCCACATTAAGGGAGTAAAAAATAGATAATTTGGCAGAAAAAGAAACGGTGTTATCTCGACAGTCAGCTCTGTGTCTTTGAGCGTGAGAGGGTGCAGATAATTAGCTGTGATGCTAATCCGTTTGCTCCTGGGAGCTTCCATGGAGACAGCAGTTACTATGGTTACTGCATGCCTTCTGTCTCTGTATCTAGTGTGTGTAACAGTCCAGGAGAGAGTGTGTGTGTCTATATTGTATTTATACGCACAATATGTGTTTGACGGGAGCCTTGGGCTCTGCAGGCAGACTGGTAGTTATAGTTTGATCCCCCCACTGAAGATATTAAGACTTCTAAAGCTGATCTGCGATCTGCTCAGCTACATCTGGACATTTCCCGGAGCTCCGGACTGAGAGGAGGTCTGACGTTTCCATCGGGGGTGGGGCTTGTTGATATGATGTCACTCTGGGCCGGAGCCCTGGTTCTGCTGGTATATGGAGGCTTTGTCCTTCAGCAGAACCAGGCACAGGTGGCAGCTCCAGCTCCCTGTACACACACACACACACACACACAAATCAGGCCAGACTCAGGAAATCACAGGCGTATAAAATACTAGTGATGTATCAAATGTATTTTATTTATATCACTGCAAAATATTTCTCAAAAAGAGCTCTCTAAAGAGGAGCGAAACATTTGTTCATGTTGTTTAGAAAGGCTAAATGCCAAACAAAAGATGTTTGCAGCTTTTGAAGGTTGATCTTGTTAACTTTAGCAGTGTGCAGTGTGAGCTTACCCTCTGGTGGTTCAGTCATGGGGGGGCTTAGACAGTACATGTGGTAACCTCGGTCACAGTCATCACAGAACAGCAGCTGGTCCTGCAAACACACAACATCATGTTGAGTCCACTGATTGGACAAGAGGAAAAGTTTTCACATCTCTCCATCTTCAGATGTCACAGTTGTTCAGAAACATGTCTAGGGCTTTTGATTTGATAGGTGAGAACCAGCCTTCTTGGTTCACTCTTTGAACCCTTATAATGATTCATTCATTCAGTTTTTGAGAACATCTAGGTTATTTAATTGTCAACATTTTATTATGAATATACATTTGGATTCCAATTTTCCATGAAAGAGAAATTACAAAAAAAGTTAGTGTATACTTAATTAGTATATAGTCAGCAACAACAGATAAAGGGTCTCACGTCGTTCTCCGAGGTGCCGCAGACGTTGCAGCACTTGCACTCGATGCACTGCCAGCGGTAGGTCTTCACTGCAGCCATCATCACGGGGGTGAACTGCAGGCATGTGGGGTGGCCTGCAGGGGGGGTGAAGAAACGTTGTCAAGGAAGATACAAATAACCATGCCATGAGAGAACAGAAAGGCATGGTAACAGTAACTAAGAGGCGCTTAGTGACAGTGGTGAAATGAACACGACGAGAGTACCTGAGCGTCCACAGTCTGAGCAGGACACCAGCCCCTCTGATTGGCCGGTCTTCTGGTTCATAGTGGAGTCTCCCAGACAGAAGTCACAGTAGTCGTTGGGCAGAGCCAGCCCGTTGGGACCCTTTTTAGGCGCTGAGCGGGAGAAAGAGTGAAGAAAACCTTTAGTGTACATTAAAACTATCATTTTAAATTGAGATATAGAGTTGAGTTACATCAATAGTTACATGTATAGAAAAACTGTTTATAAATCAAATATTTTAAATATTGAAGCACTGTTTTACAAACCTGTTCATGCGGCATCAGCCAACACCAGCTTTTTAGCTCAGTAACTGGCTGATGATTTATCTAACCCATGATCCAAACTAAAGAATGAGTGACAACTGACAAAACGCACTTGAATGGATGTACTAACACGGAGTTGCGTGCACTAAAGAAAACAATGCGATGGATATGTTTGGGGGGAAAAAACAAAACACAGATGGAAGCTATGTCCCCGAGAGGAACACTGAGTTTAATCCCAGCTATGAGATTAAAAATTAAAAAAAATTAAAACAGCAGTACAAAAACCAAAAACAATGAGAGAGACTTCCCCTGTACAAACACACACATGCTACACAGCATGCACCCAACCCCCCCCCCTCCCCCCCTCTCTCTCAGCACAAGAGAGTGACTCACTCTTCGGTGCCTCAGGCTGACGAGGAGTGGGTGGTGCCTCGATCTCCTCGCGGTCCTCGCCCTCCTCCTCTGCCAGGTGAGAGTGTGTATAGTGGTAGCTCAGGCCAGGACGGTTCTTGTAGCGCTTCCCACAAACTGACACACACACACACGGTCATACAAAACAGTTATAGTGATGGCGGATTGTTATTATCACCGTCCAGAAGGCCCGAAGCGGACACACACCCTATGCCGTTCATCGCCCCACAACCGGCTTTACTTTTCTATTTCTAAACTTATTTTCACATGGTTGATATTTGACTGACGCGCTTTGAAGCAAACTCTTACAGCGGAGACAAGCATTTGCACAGTGAGCCAGCAGGAAGTTAAACACAGCATACACAGAGCGGCATCTCAGGAAGAATAAAAAACGCATTTGGGCGGGCAGCCTTTCAAATTGTTTTCAAGCTTAAACTGTAGGTGGGGTCTTTCAGGTTAAACCATGCATGGCAGAAGGCTTGTTTTTGACTTTCAGAGGTAAAAATCTAAAGCCTTGCTTGCATGACACACAGACGATGCAAAGGAAGCTCCTACTCACTGTCGCAGGCGTACGGTTTGTCCCTTTCCTCCAGCGCCGCAGCAGCAGCTTCCTGTTTTTTCTTCCCATTCTTGTCACTGCGACCCTATAGAATCCATATTACAGTTGACAGATAGTACACTACTGAAACTACAATTCCACGGGGAACTGACTGCAGAAGGAGAGGCGGTACTCACCTTGGACTTGCTCTTGCCTCGTCTCTTGGGGGTCTCGTCCTCAAAGTCATCATCATCAAGGTCGTCCAAGTAGTCGTCATGGTCAAGGACTCGCTGCAGGGAGACGGGCTGGATTAGGTCTCACTGTGAGGACATTCTTTACATTTTGAGTTTGATACTTTGGATTAACTTTACTCTAAGATGTATTTCCGTTTTTTTCTATTGGTGTTATTCATATTCCCAAAAAACGATTAAAATGTTTTGTATTATCATCAAACAGTTCAAAAAAAGATCAGCCCAGATTAATAGAGACTTAAAGAAATAAATTCAATCAAGAAGCTAAAATCTTAGGGCAGTTATTACCAGATAAGACAAGAAGACGTGCCATAAAATCCTTTTGGAGTGACTGAAAGTTATTTCCAGACCAAATGCTAAGTTCACTTTTCCACATGTCATTTGTTGTTCTGTGATGCTCTAATGTAAGTTGCATAATCAGAAAATGAGAATGTTTAGCCAGCTTTGAGCCGCACCTTGCGGATGCGCCCAGAGGACGTGTGAGTGGTGGCCGAGGTGGCAGGGGGCTCCACAGGTGCCGAGTCATCCTCAGGGGCGCGGACGTCTAACACAGCGCTCCTCCTATCCACGGGCTCCCCCTTCAGAAGGGCCTCCAGACTGCTGCCGTCCACCGGCCCCAGCGCCTCACGCTTCAGACCCAGCTCCACATCTGCTATACACACCAAGCAAAATGGTAACGCATGCAATGACATGAGCAGAGAGGGACACACAAACAGACTCATTATTCACAGAACAGGGGCTCCTACTTGCAACCAATAAATATGATAGAATATGATGTATAGAATGTCACTGGTTAATGGATGAAAGAACCAAACTGGAGTGTTTTTGTGAAAAAAAGGGATACCTGCTTTGAGAGGGGGGAAGGCCAGACGGGGGTCCTCAGGGGGGTGAGAGCGGCGCTTCTTCCTCCAGCGACGGGCTGGGTAGCTGTACAGCTGCCCCGGAGCTACACCTGAGGAGACACACAGCAGTGCATGTAGGAGAACCAGCAGCTGGAGTACTTAAATGTGCTCTTTGGAACTTAAAACTCTCAAAATAGTTAAGTCTATATTAGTCTTGAAAGTAGTGTTGAGCAATTAGTCGGAATTTAATTGAAATAGCATTATTGACTAGTGCAATATCTACACCGCATGAGGCGCAATATTTGTACAAATAAAAGAGCAAGGATTGGCCTAGAAATGTCCTTGTACAGACTTGAGTACAAACCCTTGCAAAAAATCAAGCTGTAACAATTTACAGATATTTCTCTATGAAAATGAGAATAATGGTGCAAATATTATCATTCCCAATGAGCAATTACATATTTTTTCCATATTGTTCAGCCCTTATTGAAAGGTGTCTTCTGAACAGGTGGCCTGCTCCAAATTAAAATAATTAAAAAAAAAAATCTCACATCAAACGAGAACTTTTATATGTAACTTTAATAACAAATTTACAAATGTAGCATTTATTGAAAGGGTGATATGATTTGATTATAAAATCCTATCATGAATGAACTGATGAATGAACTAATAATACTGAATTGTCACTCAGCTCTAGTTAAATACCTGCACTCCGGTGTCTCTTCTCCATCCAGATGTAACAGTTGGACTGGGCCACCCCAGTCTGAGAGTCCAGGAAAGGCATGAGGATGCTGCGCTCAGCACACAACCGAGCGTTGTAACTATGACACTGCTCCATGGCATCTCTGTAATACTGCTCTCCCAGCCTGAAAGGTAAATGTGGGACACCGAGGTCAAATAACACAGAACAAGAGAGACTGTTAATAACCATAAATGGACAGCGTGTGAAAACCCCCCACTATTGAGCTCCAATATAGTGTATGCAAGTAGTATCTGTAACTGTATATGCAATCTTACCTATGTAATCTACTCTATTGCAGTACTTTGCAACTTAAAATGTTCTTGTTTTGTTGAATTTGTCAGCAACTTGTAACACTGGAACCTCTTAGATAGATTATACAGTGTTGCTTTATCCCCTTGTAAAAACATTACATCTGACAAAAGAAAACCATCCCTTAAATTGAATAGCCAAGGTTGACAAATGACTAGCCACTTACTGGCTTTTTTCTGGAGCTTTCATGAGAATCAAACCAAACTTCTTCAAAAAGATATTTGTAATGTGACTAGAGTTTGTGACTAGAGTATATTTGTATAACCCTTAAATGTCTAGTTATTGGCAACCAACTATGAATCCTATAAGTGACATATACATAAAGAATATTGTTATATCACAACCAAATACATGTTACCGATCTGAAAGCATAGAAAGATACAAATATATCTGTATAAACTGATATAGTTATACAGTGGATCAGCCAGGCCAATTGATCAGTTGGGTTCTATTAACTGTGACCCTTATATAGTTTGGAGTCAGGCAATTAGAAATCTATCTCATTTATTGTGTATTTTAATCTTTTCCTGTATAAAATAAAATCATTATCACAATGAGAACACAGCAGCCATTTTCGGTGCATCTAAAAAGTATCATTACTATGGTACACGAGTGAGTGGCCTTCATCACAAACGCAGTACTTATTCTCGGCTTCAAACCAATTTGTCGCATTGTAGTACTAGCCTGCTCACAGACTGTTGCTCTTACTGTGCTATCTCTGCATTTACCAGCGTACACATTATAGCCAAGCCTGGGTTCACTACAAAGCCTAACACCAGCAACAACGATGGAGGATGTAGGAACAAAAGGTTGATTGTTAGCAAGCCTCTCGTCACACACAACAAAGCACCCGCCAAGCTGACAGCTTTCTGCTACATTAACTATCATCCCCAAGCGACATGGCAGCAATAGTTTGGATATTTTGTGTTAAACAGCACTTTGAGTATCTAAGTTAGGCATACTAAATGGCTAAAACACAGCTCCACAATGGGTTCGCCTCATTTATATGTGCTCAATGCTAACAAGCTAACATTAGCTCATTGGGTAACGTTACTCTCCTGGGACAAATATTGTATTGAAGATTGACCATGCGAAGTTTACACATTTCAGCACTCGGCAGTAACATTAAGCATAATCATTTTTACATTCACCAATGTGTGGCTGTTCGTTTAAGTCTCACAATAAATAAAGGTAAACTTACACTTTCACAACACTGTCGACGGCCGCCGCCATGTTTGCTTATTGCGGTTGTGTAAAGTGCCACTGCGCATGCGTACACACATTAGTGACCGTTACTGCCTCCTTGGGTAAAAACGTGAAGTGTACATATTATACAGACATCATGGCATGACCATTACTGTGCAGAGTAATTGTGTTAGACATTTTCATATTTGATATGTTTAATTGTAATAGAAATGTCCATTTAATGTGTTGGCGTATTCAAGTGTCTTTTACATGAGAGTGGGAAAGTACTGAGTCCTTCTTTCCCACATAAAACAACGCATGTTTTCATTTACAATTAACTGTGTAGCTTCGTATTACTAGTGAGTTGTTTTTGCACTTGGTGGGCAGTTACAAAGATGCAGGTGTTTCAACAGCTTAATAGCACCTCGGCTCCGGCCAGGTGTCCGCGATCGCGCTGATTCCACCGGGTCCGTCTGCGCCGCGTTACGGCTGCGCCGCGGTTTTGGTCCGGCCTCCTCCGGCGTCATACCCTACCAGGCGCGTTTCAGAAGCATTTCAGAAGCGGAGAGTCTTGCCTGCCGGCTCGCAGTTTTTGTTGATTTGGGCATATTTCCTGGACAGGCTACTTTGTACAGACAAAGTTAATAATAACTGTAATATTCCAGTTATAAACGACATGAATCAAAGATGTGTTGCTGTATTTTAGTGGTAAAAAAAATGCATTCATCATCATAATTATTCTATATATATAATTTACACAGTGCCTGTAAACCGGAGGAGAACGCTGGCATTTATCCTCCTACTTGAAAGACTACGGAGGGATAGGGTCTGCAAAATTAGTTTGTGTGTGTGTATATATATAGGTCTATATAGCTCTGAACGTTCCACTTCCTGCCTGCCCGACCTTACGTTACGGCTGCGCCGCGACAAAAATAGGATTCGATCCTAATTTTAGAAAAGCCCTGCGCCGAGCCGCTTCTGGGACGCTTCTGGGACGCGTCTGAGCCGTAACGCGCCGCGTGTGGTGGAATAGCACCCATTGACTAGAGTGGCCGCGATCACCTTGAGCACCGCGGCGCAGCCGTAACGCGTCCGTAACGCGCCGCAGACGGACCCGGTGGAATCTAGAAAAGCCCTGCGCCGAGCCGCTTCTGGGACGCTTCTGGGACGCGTCTGAGCCGTAACGCGCCGCGTGTGGTGGAATAGCACCCATTGACTAGAGTGGCCGCGATCACCTTGAGCACCGCGGCGCAGCCGTACGCGTCCGTAACGCGCCGCAGACGGACCCGGTGGAATCTAGGGGTTACCTGCAACACACCTGCACAAAGGCTCTGGGGCCGTCACAATCACCCCTGCTATAACTGGAATTCATTTCAGCTTGTTTGGACACACAGTCAGTGAGTTTGAAGTGGTCGGTTGAAGCAACAGTTCTTCAATCAGTCCGTCAGTCGTGCACGATGAGTCTGAACATCCCAGGACTCGTGGTGATGGTGCTCTTCTACCTGCTGGTGCTGGGCACCGGCATTTGGGCCTCCATGAAGTCCAATCGACTGAAGAAGAGCAGCCAGGCGGACATTACAGAGATCACTCTGCTGGGGAACAGAGGGATCAGCCTGGTGGTGGGAATCTTCACCATGACAGGTGAGTGGGGGGTTACAAATAAAGTATTCAAATAAGTAGTTTGATGACATCTAGATGCATTTTAAATAAACAAAATCTATCAATTTGATCATGAATTTTCACATGCAATTTAAAAAAAAAAAAAAAAAAAAGTATGGACACAGTATTATGTCTCACTAGTGGTGAAAAAAGTATTCAGATATTTACTTATACCTTATCATTTAATTGTTAAATTATATTTTGCAATAATCTAAATTGACAAAGTAACTAAAGTTCTCAAATGTATGTAGTGAAAAGTATAAATATTGGCTTCCAAAATGTAGTGGAGGAGCTCAAGGAAGGTACTCAAGACTAATTGTAAACCTTCAGGGTGATGTGTGTGTGTGTGTGTGTGTGACCGTGTGTGTGTGACCGTGTGTGTGTGTGACCAACAGCTACATCTGTTGGAGGGGGCTTTATCGTCGGGCTGACAGAGGTAGTGTACACTCCAACCATGGGGCTGGCCTGGGCTGTCATACCAGTAGCAGTAGCCCTCTCTTTCATTGTTGGTAAGACATAAAAATGGCAATAAGTCAACCCGCATTGACCATATTGCTATACAAAAGCTGTGTGTCATCGACATTACAGTGGGAGGAAATGTTTAAATTATTTGGCCCAAGGAAGCATGTATAGAACAAAATGGGGTCTCGAAAGTGACTCCTCAGGAAATTTACAACACACAAGAGTATAAATATGTTTTTCAGTCTGAATATAAAACGGTCAATGAAGGGGACCAACCTGATAGTGGTGCTGTTTCACAATCTAGGAGTCTATTGCAATGCAGTTGAAATGTAATGGTAAATCAGTTAAGAACAAATGACACGGATCTGTTTCTCTTTTGTGGTTCAACGTTAAGGTGGACTTTTCTTTGCCAAGCCGATGAGAGACAAAAAATATGTGACAATGATTGACCCGTTCCAGATCAAGTATGGAAATGTAATAAGTGGAGTTCTGGCCATTGTACTGCTGATATGCGACATACTATGGGTTACAACAACTCTTATTGGTTTAGGTAAGTCAAACAGTTTACATTAAAAGTCCCATTTTGCAAAAATAACTTTTTTGTAATTCCTACAATTATTTGACTATTGCACCATGACAAAACATACATGAATTCTTGCTACCAACAAACTGACAAGCCTGGTGTTATGCACCAGCGTAACTTATAACTGATAATGAATGCATTATATTTGCATATGAGTCTGCCTGGATGTAATTGTGTTACCTTTTTTATAGGTGCAACAATGAGTGTGGTGTTGGATTTGGACTATACCGTTTGCATTTGGATCTCTGCCGCAGTAGCCATCATTTACACACTGCTGGGAGGCCTCTACTCTGTAGCCTACACAGACGTCATACAGCTTACCCTCATATTCCTCAGTTTAGTGAGTTCTTCACTTGAAGTTCTTCAACAGCTTTTTATGAGGCAAATCGACTGAAAAAACGTAAAGTTTGTTACAGAATAGTCTGTTGCTGGAAATATAATGGAGGCAATACCTCAGTCTGTAGGGATTTGGCTTGAGTCAATGAAGCCCAATGTGTTTAAAAAACAATAAATAAATAATTTATGATATAATAATGATTTTCTTTTTCTGTAGTGGCTATGTGTCCCATTTATCCTGATGAGTCCTCATTCAACTGACATCACCAAGACTGCTTTAAACTTCACCTACCAGGCCCCCTGGATTGGTTCAGTGGATAAAGACAGAGCGTGGAGGTGGATTGATAGTTTCTTATTATTGGTAAGGAATACATTTTGACAGGTCACAGTAGTAAAAGAATAAGCGTAAAAACTAGAATGAATGATGGATAGATAGATATTTTTTTCAACATTTGTAATTATTAAAGGTGAAACCAGATTAGATTATTATATGCAAATAAAGGCAACATTTATTTTAAAAGTGGCCAGTTTGTAGACTGGTAAATGAATTATTGCCATAGTGGGCATGACCAAAGTCACATTTTTATCCAAAAAATAGTTTTCTTTTTATTACTTTATAGTAGTAATACCAATACAGTTTATCTGACATACAGTATTGGGAATGAGGACAGTATTGTTAAAACAGGTTTTATTTCTGTTTTCCGAGACTTTTGGTAACCTTGGGTATCAGAGCTTCCACCAGAGGACCCTGTCAGCCGCCTCCTCAACCACAGCCAGGATAGCTTGCTTCACTGCGGCACCCCTAGTCATTATTCTGGGAATCCCATCCTGTCTTATTGGAGCAGTCGCAGCATCAACAGGTACAGCAAAAAACATATTGCCTACTGTTGATCTAGTTGATAGAGGAACCCCATTTATAACTAAATATAAGATAGAGAGAGAGAGACTATGCTAATTTATGTCACATTTTTGGTGTCAGACTGGAACTCTACCTTGTACGGCTCCCCGTCCCCATACGCGCGAGGAGAGGCCGGTCAGATTCTGCCCATTGCTCTGAAGCACCTCACCCCAAACTACATCTCCATCATCGGCATCGGAGCTATAGCTGCTGCCGTGATGTCATCAACAGACTCCGCTCTGTTATCAGCCGCCTCCATCTTCTCATCCAACATCTATAAGAACATCTTGAGGACCAAGGTAAGAGGAGACCTGAGGGGAAGTATAGAGTTGTGGTTGTTATCTCCACTGGAGGCGAGATTATGAGTTTGGTTGTCGGTGTGCATGCATCTGTTTCTGTTTTGCATACTATTTGACCCATCAGCCTCATATTTTTTGCTTTCATTTGTGACTGTATGCTCTAAGACCTCTTGTGGTTGCAGTGATTCACAGTTATTGAAAAACCTATTTTAAGGACTGATTTATACAGTCATTGACTACTGATTCCTCACTCTTCCTAAGTATCCAGTAATGGCCGCAGAGATCAATAACTAATGTATCAAAAGGCATTTCCAGCATTAGCTGGGCTATAAACAAGCCTTAACTTATCTGTCGGTAAAATATTGTTTATGATTGTCATGGCTCAAAAACAGACATTCATAGAAAATCCTGGTCTCAACTTAAACTGGAGCATTTGCTAATTATTTCCATACCTGATATCTTATGATCAACTAAATAAAAAGTTCGGCTCGAGTGCGCTAGAATTTGAAAATACACAACCGGAACAAATCTGCCACTTCCTTACAGAGCCCCTTCTCCAACACACACGAGCGCGCACATGACCAATGAGGGCACGAGATAAGTTTGTGCACAGATGGAAGGCTGACAGGCAGGTAGGCCATCCAGTTACTTTAGCCGGGCCGGCTCAGATGATTGGTCGTGCTTTTTACAGTACTACGGCTTCCACAGATTACATTTTTTTATGGATTTTTTGTCAAAGCACTTAAGATTTTCATTGCTATCGGGATGTTAAGAGCATTCCATGGAATATCAAAAAGTGTATCTCGAGCCG